ATCGTACGATCAAGTATGTTCGTTTCAGAAAATAAATAAACATACTGAAGAAGACGATGATATTAATAAAAACCAGAATAAACTGAGATCACAGGAAGATAGGACAATTGCACCGGCGATATGATAGCGATGATAGTTTGAAAGCATCTCACATTATTTACAAAGACAAACGTCAAAATCCTCTCCTTTCACAGCCTTTTCTTTTCTAAGGGAAGACGGAGGCACTCGGAAATAGCTTGAGTGGCAGCACTGTCAACAGCAAACACCTACTGACAAAGCTAATGATATTCTCTTTTGCCAGTTGCTTACAGAAAACTGGACAGTGAATTTGATTCCTTAGTAAATGCTAGTACCATCTATCACTGAAACGGGTGAAGAAGGTGGAGAAAATGACTGCCAACCTGGTGGAGCCGAACGCTCAATCATTCAGACGAGTGTAATGCTATTTTACCAAGGAATCCAGGAAGATCTCCGATGATAACGAGTGCCAATAGCAGCGACCCGCTGATAAAGCAAATGACAGCTCACTCCTTCGGCGGTTGCTTAGAAGCAAATTAATGTTAGGTTCGACTCTATGGATATTGCCAGTACCAATTTACCATCGAAACGAATGAACGAACAATATAAGACAAAAATCAAATTATCACTCAACAGCATCCGGCACATTTATGGGCGTTAGGACGCCTGAAATTACAGTACACGACCGGAAAGAAAAAGTAAACAACTTGGGACATAGTTTTCCAAACATCATAAAATGCACAATTCCACATATTTACTGCTTCAGTATTATTTCTTGCTTTGTTCAAGCTCCAAAACAATTGCTTGTAATCGTTCGAGTAGAGTTCTAGCGGAATCAAGAAGCTCATCCACGTTGTGTCTTTCCGCCATTTCTGCAACTTTTTGGACTACCTTAGCCTTTCGAAACAACAGATGATTTGCTACAAATTGCCTTTTTTTGACAAAGCTTTACAATCAATTAGATAGGATCGGAGAGGCATGAGGGACAGGTACTCTCCAGAAGGCGTGATAATCTGCTAGTTTTGAAACAGAAATCAGCGAGTCAAATGTAAATTAATGAAAATCAAGAAGGCCAGACACTGTGGAAATCCAGTGCCAGCAATATTCTTCGGATAAATATTGGGCTGGTCGCAGTTGTACTAGACCCTTTAGTCCTGAGCCCTGAGCTGCATCCCCAGTTAGTACCAACGGCCTGTCCGATCTTTTGAAAGATCGCCCAAGTGGTCGTTCACTTCCATCCTGGTACCACTCACTAATGTGCATACAACATGTACTCACCGCCGGATTTTACTTTCTCGCATGGTCGCAATAATACTCTGCATCCCGAAATAATATCCGCTCAACTGACGAACAGTATAACTGCTTTTACGGTATCGGATACATAAGCCATGCATTTTTTGCTTTTCACTCTCTACGACACAAGCAGCGTTTGAGCGCGAGTGGCCGCTTTTCACACTCATACATTATTGCCTTCGACAGAGTGGTGCTGAGGAGGGGGGCATGGTATTTCTGTCCGAGAATTTGAGGACAACGACGAGATGTGAAATTTCTACTTATGTGAGTCGAAATACGATAGTCAATTACTTTCAAACTGCTGTGTTTGAAATAAACTTTGCTACTCCATTCACACTCTTCTGAAGTGATCATATGATGGGAGTTTGCGTACAATCGGCACCATTAAACCTTTTGATGTACAACCGCTTTTTCGAAATACGAACCATTGTAAAATTTGATAACATCCGTGAAATCCATTCGATTATCAATGATTATGTGGCGGTAGGCCATGATTAGAGCTAGAGCAAAGAACAAGTGAAAGTGTTTGGTAACCAGTGAAGACACTGCCCAGATGACTTCCCAGACTCGAAATACCTGCGGATACGTCAGTTCTGTAAAAAAAAACTATAGTAGAGATTGCTTGTGTAGAAAGCTTATTTCAAAAAAATTGCTTGTTTAGAAAGATTGATTATTTCAAAAAGAAGCCAAAAGGAAAACATGCCAAGCACAACACACCAGCTTTTCCAATCAGTTTAATAAGTTTTTGAGGATGAAAAACCACGTTTTGAACGAATCTAACAAATGTTACCCAGAAATTAATGAGAAAGGAGTGAATGACGGGAGTAAAAGTTGAAAAGAAGACAATTTACTATCCTGGAAGCTTATTACTACTTTTTTCACTAATGGCTATTTATTATTATTTTTTCATTCGTATGTACTCATTTAGCGTTATTATCATACAGCAGGTTGAGGGTTAGACTCACCGGTGGGATTAATCAATTTCTTTACGATTCGTCCATTCGTTCTGATGCTAAACTGGCCTAGAATATGGTCAGGGAATTCAACCCGCCGTTACCTTGCTTGTAAACAACTCTCCTCTTCAATAGACTTGTCAGCTAGTGGTTGTCTTTGGCACTTGTTGTCATTCGGGCTACTTCCTAAGTGTCCTCGTCTTTCACGGGTAACAGGTTTAACTCACTTATGAGGCCCAAATCATGTATTTCAATACCATTTTGCCAAGTATGGCCATCAGTTTGGAGATTAGGAATAATAACAGCTGTGATCTCATTCAAATGTAGAACTCCGCCCATATCAGCAGAAAGCCTAACTGCACAGGGACAGCCCAAACAGAAAAGCATTTAAATCTTTCTGCATTCTAAACATTCGAAGTCCATGAGTTTTGTTTAATGAAAATATGCAAGAATTAAATTTGACAACAATTCATCAATTCTATTGATGCTTTTCTTATTTACGCAAACAGTTTCCAATGAGGAAAATTCCTCAGAATTAGAAATCAGCGCGATAAAAGTAACTATTCAAAATAGGAAAAACCTCTTTTGAAATCTAGCAGGAACCATCGATAGGAGAAATAAAGATGAGTGGCGTCGCCGTGCTCCGCCATGTAATCGTAAAATTCGGGATCCATAACCTAAAATATGCTTCTAGAAGTCCCACTAACATCCATAACATACTTTTATAACAAAGCCAAAGTCAAAACTCCCTCCATATTCAGACTCTATGTGAGGCGGAGGAATTGTGAAGCACCCTGAATTTAATAAATGCCAACATCAAACATCGTCGACCGAGTTGTTGATGGCTCCGTATTTCGAGGACTGCTCACAATCAAGCTGATGGCAGGCTTGGCTTTTTGGCACATGCCAGTACCAATTCGTCATAAAAATGAGTGAACGAATCATGTGCAGATTAGTTGACCCACTGTGCTTTTATATATTTTCCCGATAATCAGTAATATTTTTATGTTTATTGTGTTTTCTTATGACAATGTTAATTCAGAATTCGTGGAATTTTCAGTCGCTAACTTTTCACATTGTTTCAATACCATCGTCACTAGCATATTTAATATGTGATTCTTTAATCAGCTGTAAATCGTAGCTTAGTTCTTCAGCTGCACGACATGCAACTTTTCCTCCTGCTGCTGCTACTGCTACTACTGCTGCTGCTGCTTTGCCCAATGCAGCACTGCCTGCTGATGATCCAGACGCTCCTATCCTCTCTTGAAAGGATTACTAACACAGTGGCTCTCCTGTCAGAAGCACTTGACAAGATTTAAGGGGTTTTAAAATGTCTGGGTGACTATTGAGAACACCAGCAGTTCGCCTCGACTGTTATCATTCCTGGGGCACGATACGGTACCATGCTGTCATTAATGCAGTGCCACATAAAAACAATTTTTTTTCATAAGTAATTTTTTCTCTTTCGTCCTGAAATGAAAAAGGATGACATGCAGAAGACCTGTATAAGGGAGCTCATATAGGCTAAATTGTCGTCCATGCCGGTGTTATGAGGGAAGTTCTGCTTCATTCTCAGCATCAACCGATCGAAACAAGCTAACACCAGTGATTCTGAAAGAGAGAAATTCATATTTCTGATCTATTTGGCCATGAAAAGAGTTACTTAATTTGTTTGACAAGTTAAAAGTCAAGAAGTCTATTTATAGCATGCCTGAATTGCGCGAAAAAAAACGACAATACATAAATACAAAAGGTCAGATAAGCTGCTTAACAGACTTACAAAGTGGAAGTGCGGTAGAATGCTCGGAAATCTCAGCCAAATGCTTGAAAAATCTCAGTAAGATGCTCAAAAATCTTAGTAAGGTACTTGATAATCGCAATAATCTCATTAATATGGTTTGCAATGCAAGTAAAATATTTGGCAACCTCAGCAAAATGATTCGCGACTTCAAAAATTGCTCTGAATCTTGAAAAACACTTAAAAAGTGCATGGGAATCTAATGAAATGGTTTGCATTTATAGTAAATTGCATGAAAATCCAATAAAGCGCTTGGCAAACAAATTCAGTGAAATGCCTGGCAATCCCAGTAAAAAGCTTAGCAATCCTAGTAAAGCGCCTCTAAACTCGAGTAAAATGCACAACATTCTTAGCAAAATGCCTGCTACTTACGAATAGACTTGCTGACTTTGGTGCACAGATAAGTCTTATGCTGCGTATAAAGTTGAATTTTAGTAAAACTAGGATGCGTACCATCATCAAAAATGACTAGCAGAGGGGCAGCCAAATCGCACATCCCTTGGGTGTAGCCTTCGTTCAGATTCCTCCACACGTATGTGCACATTATGGTTTTTAGTTTTTCCAGATTTTCTTTTTTCGCAAAATATGGGGAGCTTCGATCGCAGCGATCAACGTCCTTTTCGATCCGATGCAGATTCGCACCGAATTTTATAATCAGATCCTCCTAAATTACGAATAATTATTATACGCTACTTTCTTGATCAGTAAGAAATCTTATTGTGGTCCACAAATGAAAATGTTCGGGATATGATTGTGAGGCTCAGTACATACGAAACGATTAAAGCTTCGTTAGGTACTTCTTGCAGGGAATCTGTTCTACTGGTGGTTCCTCTAGGCGACGAAACGAACGTCAGAATCGTTAGCAAGCTAACAGACGGTGCAGCACCACTTAAGGTAACTGGAAATGTTCGCTAGCTGCACAGTTGGAAGAGAGGAACATTGGAGTTTTAAGCTTGGAGAAGAGATGTAGAGATCCGATATTGTTGGTGCCATTTAGTTCATCTTCTAGAAAAAACCAATGCGTTCAGGACGGCCTGGACAATTGGCGCACGAGTCCGATGTTACTGGGTGCACCCACGTCAGAGCAGTCAACACATGACGTTTTATTAAGCGCTGCATTTCTCCAGTTAATACTTGTCGCCTGTATTTTTACAAGCTTAACTATGTGTGTCATGGATGCCACTCACTATCAAACGACCGAAACAGAAACCAAGTTGAAGAAGCAGGCTCACACAGCATTTACGTCGAAAGCTGACCTCGTCGTTTTTTTCCTGGTTCTTTTGTGGTTCCTCGGCCTCCTCGAATACTTCATTGTTTAAGGATAGCTCACGAAATGACGTGTTCGGTCCTCCATTACATGTCTGATATCGGAGACGCGCTGAAATTATACGCAGGGTTTTCTAGAATGGAGCTCGCATTTACATCCATATTCTAAAATTAATGAGGGTCCAAAATCCAACCATAGTATTAACAAAATGGTTCTATTTCGTGAATCCTTATAGCCCAGTTTTTCGGCTGTGTACTGGCGTGAGTAATGACTTTTCAAGTGGTCGGTGCATGTTATCATCAAAACCTTAATTACAGAATAAATGAGGCAAATGATCGTGATTTTACGCAGTAAGTAGATATGAATACATGAAAGTAGATGTGGTTTAATACTTCCGAGATTTATTTATAGTGTTTTTGAAAAATTTATTAAAAAACTGCCATTCAGAACCTTGTGGTGATAAATGCTCAAGAAAGAAAGAAGTGGAGAGGTTGTCAGTTGGAAGAAAAAAGCGATGATGAAACAACAGCTAAACAAATTATCAGGGCATAAAAACCTGAAACCAACCGATGGCGAATGCTTCTTGGTCTCGTTCGTGAACAATTTTCTCAATTTTTTCCCACTCAACAACATCACTATAGTATTTTGCACGATATGTATTTTTTAGCTTCTCGAAATCCTGCGCCCACTCGACTAAGCCCAGCAGATAGGGCCATGTCTTACGTCGCAGCATGCACGGTTCATTCCCGTTGATGCCATAGCGATAAACGCGGGAGAGGAACTCCTTTTTGAATTTTTCCTGGAAGCATAATAAAAATCCAACTTGTTATTTTGCAGTACTTTTTAAAAAAGTGGAAAAAACAATTAGCTATATTATATTTGAAGACAAAGTTAAAAAGCTCAGCGTAAATTGAAAGCTAAATGTATCGCAGAATTCTGATATTGCTGAGCAGCAACCAAAGGTTTTGTAACTCAGATTTGAGAATCATCAGCAAGCCGACCAGTAGGCGATGCAGCTCTTATCAAAGCAACTGGCAAAAGTCGTTGGCTGCACTGCTGTATCAAGGACCAAGCTACGAACTGCAGCTGATTAAAATATCAAGGTGCTTTCATCACTAGAAAAAAGTTAACTGATTTCGTATTCCGGCATTCCGTCCAAAAATCCTCGTTCACTGGACCGGCAATATTTTCAACAACAGTTTTTGTATCAATCAGATGTGAAAGATGTGTTCTTATGGTCCGCAAATGTCCGCAATACGCTAGCCCTGGAAAAATTCGATGTCATTTTAATTTCGAATATTTATATTAATGTCAAATTATCAAAATTTCATTCTGATCCCACAATCTGAATTCGATTTTTCGTACGTTTGATAATTAATTTGAATCCCAGCTTTGAGCATACAGAAAGCAATAAACTCTCTTCTTTGCAAGTTAAACTGTCTTTTTTGTAAGCATGGCTTCAGAAAGTCAATTTTTCTGTTAGCACCTTCGGTGCAGAAGTATGTTTAATCATTTGCGACGTCTCCTCCTGACAATAAAATACCCCTATTTTGGTACGCTGGAAATGCAAAGGTCAAAATCAGAAAGAAGACGCTATGAAGTATCCCAAGGAAGGAATTTAACGGTCACCTCTGACAAGTTAATTACCATCAGGTAACTATCATCACTGGCAATTTAACTATTTTTTTCGAGAGGTGCTTACAAGCACGCTGATGGGAGGTTTAGCTTTTTGGTATACATCAACCAACAAAACGAAAGAACGAATTGTAGACATATTTGTTTTCCCTGGAAGTATTTGGAAAAAATTAAAAGAGAGCACTTACATCCGTAAAAAGCTCGTGCCAGAATCTGCATCCTCATTGAAGTGCAAGCCTTCTTGAAATTTTGTCTGCAAAAAAGCTCGCGAAAGTAAGAACCCAGAAATCAGTATAAGACAGTACAGGAGGTGTGGGAAATGAGTTAGGAACATTAAAACACTGCACAAAGTACCTCATTAATTCGTCCACACCGCTATCGCTTGTTGTTCGTTTCTCATCTCGTTTACTGAAAATTTTAACAAAAATTTATAAAATTTCCCATACAACTTGTGTGGTACGCATTTTAAGTTAGGATTTATTAGCATAGTAACTTATTTTGGTTAAGGACGTTTTTTGTAAAGTTGGAGATATCTCTTTCTTGCACCGATCCTAACTGGTGTTCTTATGCTTTCCCCCTCTTCCCTCTCCCTGCCCTCACAATTATTATCTGTCGCTCCATTTATTTAAATTTAATGTTTTGAAATATATATCACGTAAAC